TTTTTTTTTTTTTTTAAAGATTTTATTTATTTATTTGAGAGAGAGAATAAGAGAGAGAGAGAGAGAGCATGAGAGGGGGAGGGTCAGAGGGAGAAGCAGACTCCCTGCCAAGCAGGGAGCCCGATGCGGGACTCGATCCTGGGACTCCAGGATCATGACCTGAGCCGAAGGCAGTCGCTCAACCAACTGAGCCACCCAGGCGCCCCCCTCTTTTTTTTTTTTTAAGATTTTATTTATTTATGAGAGAGAGAGAAAGAGAGCATGAGTGCCTAGCAGGGAGCCCGATGTGGGACTCGATCCCAGGACCCCAGGACCATGACCTGGGCCGAAGGCAGACGCTTAACTGACTGAGCCACCCAGGAGCCCCTCTCTTCCTTTTCTTATAAAGACACCAGTCCTAATGGATTAGGGCCCCATCCTTATGACCGCATTTAATCTTAATTACTTCTTTAAAGACCCTATCTCTAAATAGTCACATTAAGGATTAGGATTTCAATATACAAATTCAGGGGGTACATAATTCAGTCCATAATATCTCTTATTCCTGTCCTTCCCCCCAATTTGGTGTCTTCCTCCTCAAGGCATGTCTCTCCCATTTACTCAAGTTTTATAAACTTTGTAGTAACCGCTATTTTAAATATATATATGTGTTGGTTTTCTCCATGTTGAATTTTCACATTTCTAATAAGTTTATTGCCAGCTATTTTAATATTTGTTTTTTTTTTAACTTTTCTACCCCCCAATTTTTATTTGGCAAATGTTCTGATCTATAAAACAGTTGCAAGATATACAATGAATATTCATATTCCTAGATTCATCAATTGTTAACCTTTTGCCACATTTGCTTTATCTTTCTCTACATATCTCTACTTTTTCCTGAACCATTATCTTCGGGCTCCTGCAATGCTCCCCCAGCTGCTCCAGAGCAACTCTGGTCTCCCAGCATTTAAAGGACATACTTCTTCCACATAATGAGAATTCTTCAGGGGAAGGAACCGTGATGTGTGTTCCACTGAAGCTCTAGGATTTTCAAGTGTCTACTGCTAATAGGTGTTCAAGAAATAGGAGAAGTGGGCGCCTGGGTGGCTCAGTTGGTTGAGCGACTGCCTTCGGCTCAGGTCATGATCCTGGAGTCCTGGGATCGAGTCCCGCATCGGGCTCCCTGCTCGGCAGGGAGTCTGCTTCTCCCTCTGACCCTCCCCCCTCTCATATGCTCTCTCTCTCATTCTCTCTGTTTCAAATAAATAAATAAAAAATAAAATCTTTAAAAAAAAAAAAAAAAAGAAATAGGAGAAGTGGCATGCCCAAGGCTCCACAGCCTTGTGAGGGCCAGCACTAGAATCTCACGCAGGTCTGACAGACCCCAAAGTCCATGCTCTTCCATAAGGCCATACTGTCCTCTTGATAGGTAAGCAGATTTTTTACAGGAGAATAATGTATATTATTGGTTATCTGGAAGCTGAACGTTTGGGGGCACGTGTTTGGTTGACTGAATTGCATTTTGATTCATCTTTGAGCATGAACTATTTTGCATTTAAGTTGCTGGCTTAGTGCCAAGCACATCAGCAGGACTATCTAGTATAAAATGAAGTCTTTCACTGTGGCTGATCAAGGGAAAGAGTCTCTGTACAAAAGCTCCTCTTATCATAGGTGGTAGTGATTTGTCCTGAGACGAATTGGTTGGAAAGGGGAGGGCCTTGGACAGGTGTCAAAAGGTGTGTTCCAGTCTAGGCTATGTTATATAACTAGTCACACAACTTGCCCTCTGTGGGCCCCAATGTCTTCATCTAAAAATGGGGATTAAAAACTCTTGCCTTGGGACGCCTGGGTGGCTCGGTCGGTTCGGCATCTGCCTTCAGCTTGGGTCGTGATCCCGGGGTCCTGGGATCGAGCCCTGCATCTGGCTCCTTGCTCGGCGGGGAGCTTGCTTCTCCCTCTGCCTGCCACTCCCTCTGCTTGTTCTCTCTCTCCCCCTCTCTCTGACAAATAAATAGGTGAAATCCTAAAAACAAAACAAAACAAACTCTTGCCTTGCCCACCTCCTAGAGATGCTGTGATTGAAAGGGGAGAAAGCACACAAACCTTTGTGTTTTAAATCCATCATATACTCCATCTGCTCAGTACCAGTTCAAATATTAGTAACTGCTCTGAGAATCATGTAAAACTTGAAAAAAAAAAAAGAATCAATTACTTCATTTTTATTAACTGAAAATTTTGCCATGATCAGGCCACAGGCTGGGAAAAATTCACATCTTGTTTTGATCAATCACAGGAGGTATCTATCTGGAATGGAACTGGCACCACATCTGTGCTCTCAGATTCAAATGTTACTTCTTAGCCTAGTGAGTACCTTTCCTTAATTGTATGAAATGATAAATGTGAAAAAGAAGTCTGTAGGGCTTGATAGCTTGAGGTCAATAGTGGTGGTTATTAACCTCGGGAGTACATTAGAATTGCCTAGGGAGATTGAAGATCATACCAATGCTACCAACACCAATTGTATTTCTTGGGGGTAGGGCCCAGGCTTTTTTCCTTTCCTTTTCTCCCCTCCCCTCCCCCTCCTTTCCTTTCCAAGATTTATTTATTTATTTTAGAGAGAGAGAGCATGAGTGTGCGGGGCAGAGGGAGAGACAATCTCAAGCAGACTCTGCACTGAGCATGGAACCCGACACAGGGCTCAATCCCACGACCCTGAGATCACAGCCTGAGCCGAAACCAAGAGTCTGATGCTTAACCAATTGTGCCACCCAGGCACCCTTGGGCTTTTTTATTTTTCTTTTTTTTAAGATTTTATTTATTTGACAGAGAGAAACACAGCGAAAGAGGGAACACAAGCAGGGGGAGTGGGAGAGGGAGAAGCAGGCTTCCTGCCGAGCAGGAAGCCCAACACGGGGCTCGATCCCAGGACCTCGGGATCATGACCTGAGCCAAAGGCAGATGCTTAACGACTGAGCCACCCAGGTGCCCCCATCATATAGGTTTTATACATATATGTCTTGCATATATTTTTTCATTAGGATTATTCCTAAGTTGTTTGTATATTTGCTACTATTATAAGGGAGAAGAGTTCAGCAACTGATTATTGAGCTATTGATTTTGTGGTATTATCTTGGTCCTGGATTCCCTTATAATTCTAAGATTTTGGGGTTGTTTTCCACATTTAAAGCATCATGCCAAATAATCTGCAAATAAAGATAATTTTATTTCCTTCCCAATACTTAAATCTCTTATTTCTGTTTCAGATCTTACTATGTTAGCAAAAACTTCTAAAACAACATTAAATAATAGCATCACTATAGGTATGCTTGTTCTTTTCTTGTTAATGTTTTCTTATTTTAATGAGAATGTCTTTAAATGTTTCATTGTTAAAGAATGTTTCTTTTGGGGCACCTGGGTGGCTCAGTCCTTGAGCGTCTGCCTTTCGCTCAGGTCATGATCCCAGAGTCCTAGGATCGAGCCCCTCATCGGGCTCCCTGCTCGGCGGGGAGCCTGCTTCTCCCTCTCCCATTCCCTCTGCTTGTGTTCCCTCTCTCGCTGTGTCTCTCTCTGTCAAATAAATAAATAAAATCTTAAAAAGAAAAATGTTTCTTTTTCTTTTTTCTTTTTTTTAAATAAAGATTTTATTTATTTATTTGAGAGAAACACTGAGAGAGAGAGCATGAGCAGGGCAGAGGAAGTGGGAGAAGCAGACTCCCCCACTGAGCAGGGAGCCCAATGCGGGGCTTGATCCCAGGACCCTGGGATCATGACCTAAGCTGAAGGCAGATTCTTAACTGACTGAGCCACCCAGGCGTCCCTCTTTTTCTTTTTTTTTCCATCAAGATTTTATTTATTTGAGAGAGAGAGAGTGGGAGCATGAGCAGGGGGGAGGGGCAGAAGGAGAAGGAAAAGCAGACTCCCCACTGAGTGGGGAGCCTGAGCCCAATGAGGAGCTCAAGGCAGGGCTTGATCCTAGGACCCTGAGATCATGATCTGAGCCACAGGCAGATGCTTAACCAAATGAGCCACCCAGGCACCCCTGTTAAAGAATGTTTCTGGGGCGCCTGGGTGGCTCAGTTGGTTAAGCGACTGCCTTCGGCTCAGGTCATGATCCTGGAGTCCCTGGATCGAGTCCCTGGATCGAATCCCGCATTGGGCTCCCTGCTCGGCGGGGAGTCTGCTTCTCCCTCTGACCCTCCCCCCTCTCATGTGCTCTCTCTCATTCTCTCTCTCAAATAAATAAATAAAATCTTAAAAAAAAATGTTTCTGAGAGAGATACTCTCAAAAAAACACATTTGGTTATTTGTAATTTTCTAATACTTTTAAAAAACTTTTTGAGATAATTATGGATTCACAGAATTTTGCAAACACAAAATTTTACTCTGCACCCAGTTCCCCAGTGGTTTATATCTTATGTAACTGCAGGACAGTAACAAAAGCAGAGCACTGACATTGGTACAATGTATATTTCTATAGTCATTTTTTTGGCTTGTGTAGCCACCATTGCAATCAAGATGCAGAACTGTTTCATCAGTACAAAGACCTCCCTCATACCATTCCTTTATGGCCACATATTTCCCCTCCCCACCACCATCCCTAATGCCTGGCAACCACTAGTGAGTTCTCTGCCTCTATAATTTTTTTTTTTTAATTTTGAGGATGTATGGTATCAAGTAATATGTGGGCTTTTCAAATTGGCTTTTTCAGCATAATGCTTGGAGGTCCATTCAAGTTGCTGTATCAATAGTTTGTTCCTTTTTTTTTTTTAATTTTTTATTTATTTATTTGAGAGAGAATGAGATAGAGAGAGAGCACATGAGAGGGGGGAGGGTCAGAGGGAGAAGCAGACTCCCTGCCGAGCAGGGAGACCGATGCGGGACTCGATCCAGGGACTCCAGGATCATGACCTGAGCCGAAGGCAGTCGCTCAACCAACTGAGCTACCCAGGTGCCCTAGTTTGTTCCTTTTTATTACCAAGTAGTATTCCATGGTTCAGAGGTACCATAGTTTTGTTTTGTTTTTTAATATGGAACACTTCAGGAATTTGCATGTCATCCTTGTGCAGGGACCATGCTCCCCTCTGTATTGTTCCAACTTTAGTATATGTGCTGCTAAAGCGAGTGCTGTACCACAGTTTTTTAAACATTCACCTATTGTAGAACATTTTGTTTCCAGTTTTTGTCTAATACAAAAAACTGCTGTGACCAATCATGCACAAATTTTTATGTGAACATATGTTTCATTTCTGAGATAAATGTTCAGGAGTAGGATTGCTAGGTCATATGGTAAGTGAATATTGATTTTTTAAAAAAACTGCCAAAACTATTTTCCAGGATGGCTCTAAGATTTCACATTCCCACTAGCAAAGTGTAAGAGATACAGTTTCTCTGCATATTCACCAGCATTTGATATTGTCACTATTTTTAATTTTAGATTCTAACATAATTTTAAAAATCAGTGATGATTTTATCAAATACATATTTTGGCATTTACTGAGATAATTTTATGGGATCTCTTATTTGCTTTCTTGATGAATTGCATTATTTTATCCTTAAGTATACATATACTTTTTTTTTTTCCAATGTCACATTTTACTTTTTGCGGGGAGAGAATAGGAGGAGGAAGAGGAGGGGTAAACAGGATCTCACTGGAATCTCTAAAGTGTATGAGACTGGTAGTACAAAGATAGGAGGAGATGGCTAGGCAGATTGGATGGAAGGCCTCCAAGATTCTTTTTTCTGATTTCTATACTCTAATGAAAATGATATGACATATATGTAAGTGCCTAAAACATGGTATTCAGTAAATGTCAGTTGCTTTTCCTAGCAGGGTTCTCCACAGGCTAGGTTGTACCTAGACATCATCATCCTTCTCTTTTCCAGGAATGAGGCTCACCTGGAAAACTAGGGCACTAACAGTACAGTAGTTTGGATGATGCATTTGGTTACCTGGCTCAGTGCAGGGTCTCACTGTCTCCCTGTCCTCCCCACTCCACTCCACCAGGGATAGGCTAAGAGTAGTGTCCCAAACGGCAGCCCTGGAGCCTAGCCAGCTTTCCCCAACAGATTCCAAGTGTAGGGCTGTGGGTTGCAACTCTCCAGTGCACAGTCCTCTCCTTCTGGTGATGATACTTGTACAGAGAGACACAGACATGTGTGCTAATTTTGCTGGCTGTCTTCAGGATCTCAACAGCCTTGCTGTGCTCAGTCTCTTGGAAATCGACATCATTCACAGCTAGGGTCTGGTCTCTTTCCTGAAGTCCTGCTCAATGTGCGTCAGAGCTGGGAATCACCTTGGAAATGAAGACACCTAGCAGGGAGGCCTTTCCTCCTTGGATGTTAAATCCCAACTGAGCTCCAGGGGGCTTCTTCATCGTGATGATTGAGGGCAGAAACTGGGTCAACTCATTGTTGTAGCCTTCATGGCACACCCTCTCCTGCGGAGGAATCCCTGCTGGGGGC